TGCTGCGCGTGAGAAAACAACTTTCATTTCTATTTGGGCGTATTCTTAAAAGAACGTTCAAATTATTGCTAAATAAAGACAATAATTGGCTTAAAATGTTTTATAGGAAAAACACCAATTATTTTTAGTCGACTTCAGCATTCAAATTCCTCTAGGATGATGGTGTTGTCTATCTGATTTTTTCCCCAGGCAGTTGTTTGTGTGTGACATTAATTCTTTTAAGTTTCAGATTCGGATGGGATATCCAATCCAAGCCCGGAAACCAGATTTAGTACATGAAAAAGGCTTACGATGAAAAATATATATCGTACATTATTTTAAGCTTACAACCCTTCTTTATCATTACACTTAATTCAATTTTGATTATTGATCACATAAATTGAGCATTATACAGTGAAAATATAAACGAAAATGCAAGCAACATGGCAGGCTACGATCTAATTGATCCGCTTCCAAATATACATATCATAAATTATGGCATGCAAATCGACCTGGCGTACAAGTCGACCTGGCGTACAAATCGACCTGGCGTACAAATCCACCACAAGTCTTTTAGCTCGAAATTTTGTGTTAGGCCTATGCTTAGCGTATAGGTCAACCCCCCAAACATGCGGTAGGCTAGCAGTGGCCCAAAATATTAGCCTACTTGTAAACGGGTTAATTACTAAAACTTGTATTATTATAAATCATTCTTACACTCTAAAATCATTTTCTGGAGACTTTAATCATCACCGACAGGAGCGTGAATTTTCGCCCAACGATGTTTCCTCCGGGCGACTCCCCCCACCCCCTGCCTCGAGCAGCTTGTGGGACTTCAGCTCAACCTAGTGGAAATCGTAAGGACTTCGGAATATTAGGCGCTGTAAGTTTGGACGTCCGGTTGATGTAATGGAAAACGGTTCGGAAATTTAAATCGGAGAGCCGAATTCCAATTAGAGTCGGTTTTGTTATATTCACTTGTGCGTAAATCCCCCTTGGCAAAGGATAAAGCGATCTTTTCTCCCCAAAGCTATGGGTTAATTACTAAAACTTGTATCATTATAAATCATTCTTACACTTTAAAACTATTTTCTGGTGACGTTCCATCATCACCGACCGGACCGTAAAATTTTGCCTATAGCAATGGACCGGTGTTCTCTCGGGGAGGCCCACTTGCCTTGAGCCACTTGTGGGACTTGAGCTCTGTAGCGTTAATAGAATAGTGAATCTGTATTGCTGTTTTATTAATTTCTGTGTTAATATGCCTAATACGTTAACCAAACACAAGTTTTAGTGGGAAATATTTGTTGCAGCCTGCTACAAATTGTTTAGATGTAACCGTAAGTTCTAAATAATTCATTCTCGTATATACATAGCATAAATAACGGCGTGCAAGTCGACCTGGAGTACAAGTCGACCTCAAGTTCTTTAGCTCAAAATTTTGAGTTAGGCCTAAAGGTCAACCCCCAAATATGTTGTAGGGCAGCAGTGGCCCAATATCTATGACTACCGGTAAATGAAGTTATACAGTATACGATAATACATGTCTAAACTACATAAAGTCATACCATTTGTATATTGAGACACTAATCGTAATATATTTCTATATGAGTTTTATACTTTCTATATGTGTTTTATAGCAAACGACATACAAGACACTATCGTATATTATAGGGTGAATAGAATAATTCATTTGTATTTCTATTTTATTAATTTATGTTAATGTCCGTGTTAATATGCAAAAATATGTACACAAAAGACAAATTTTAGTAGGATATATTTGTTTCATCTTATTACAAATTGGCTTGATGTAATCGTAAGTTCTATGTTAACAGTTTCTTCTCTCGCTTGTGGAACACTCTTCCGACTCAAAGTTTTCCAGCTAACAGGGGTCTTCAAAAATTTTAATGTAATGCCAATCGTTATCTACTGTATTCCTGGTTACTCTTCTATTGTTCTCGCTCCTTAATAATGTTTATTTTTAATTCCTTCACACTAAGTAACTCCTGGTATTTTAGTGGCTTCACTTTCCTTTGCATGGTGTGAATTGATTAAAAGAAATGCGTGTTCGTAGATAGCTGGCGAACCCTGTGCAATGCGAACGTTTTTCAAAACAAGGGACAACAGTCGGACTGTATAAAAGTTAAATTCATATCTAAAGTAGTTTTACCTTATTTTAAACAGCAAGAAGAAGCACCACCATCATTAGCACCACCACCATTAACATCATCTCGCTACAACGACGAAGCCAGAACAACAAACAGAAAACAAGAAAAACAAAATGGCTGCAACAAAGTACAATTAAGAATTTCGAAAAATAAACAGACTCGTGAGTTTCTAATTTGGCATCAACTTTCAGATTAACGCTTCTCCTTTTCCCCACCGTCCTATGCCGCTGGGCAGGTGGTGAAGTGGTGGTAGTAGTGGTGGGGAGGGCTTGATTAAAATCGGGCCTGAGTATAATTTTAGTGCTGAAACGGACTGACATGCGTAAAGCACTGGCGGGTCTTTATCAAATTTGCCTCGTTTGTGAACTCCGAGCGTGTTAACACTGACGGGTAATCGAGTTTGGAATTAATTGACAAATGGAGACGTTGCCAATAATGCCGAGATGGACAACGGGAATATTCTTGAAAACGGAAAACGGAGAAAAGCAGAAAGAAATTCCTGTCGAAACGATTCCGCATTTCCCCGTCGCTACGAATCGTTTCCGCCCGTCCGCGTTTCGGAAAACTGCGCCATAAATCTTGATTTAGAAAAGAAAAGGTATCTACAGACCACAAATTTTAACAATTATCATTTATTTTATTTTAATTTTCTTTTAAAATTGGCGTTACACATATATTTTACATTTTATATAAATTTACGTTACACGTATATGAGAAAATTTGGGTAGAGTTCTTTGTGAGTGAATCTGTAGCGCCAGGCTAACGAGTTTCGAACAAAGTTGGTCCTAGTTAAGACCTACAAGCTTCATTCGCCTGGAGTCATTTTTACCCATTGATCTTAGCGGTTGTATACCTCTGATAGTTTGGATCTCAGCTACATTGATTTGCTTTCTACAAGGAAACACTATCTACTTTGGTTTGTTATATACAAGGAAAACTATCTACAACCTAAAAATAGTATATCTACATGTTAAAAATAGAATGATATCTACATGGTACTACTTTGGCTTGTTATCTTTTTCTTGTAGATAACAAACCAAAGTAGCAACATATTTTACTATGTCAATATCATCCCAAATTAAAATTTGTAAGGTGTAGATATTTCTCCGATGTACATGCTGTTTATAGCATTATCCCGTCGCTTCGAATCGTTTCCGCCCGTCCGCGTTTCGGAAAACTGCGCCATAAATCTTGATTTACAAAAGAAAAGGAATCTACAGACCACAAAGTTTAACAATTATCATTTGTTTCATTTGAATCTTCTTTTAAAATTAGCATTACACGTAAATAATTAGAAAATTTGCGTAGAGTTCTTTGGTAGTGATTCTGTAGCGCCAGGCTATGAAGTTCGAAGAAGATTTATATCTACATGGTAAAACATGGTGCTATTTTGACTTGTTATCCTTTTCCTTGTAGATAACAAACCAAAGTAGCAACATATTTTACTATGTAGATATTATCGCAAATTAAAATTTGTACGGTGTAGATATTTTAGCCGATGTACATGCTGTTTCTAACTAGAATAAAAGAAAAAAAAAATATTTTCCCATGTTTTATATGAATATGTTATAATATATTTTACTATGTTGATATCATTCCAAGATAAAATTTGTACGCGGTGGATATTTTTCCTTGTAGATAACAAGCCAAAGTAAATATTTTTCGTTGTAGTTAACAAACCAAAGATATTTCTCCTTGTAGATAATAGGCAAAGTAGATATTTTTTCCTTGTAGATAATAAAACAAAGGGGATATTTCCTCCTTGTAGATAACAATCCAAACATTTTTCCTTGTAGATAACAATCCAAACATTTTTCCTTGTAGATAACAATCCAAACATTTTCCTTGTAGATAACAATCCAAACATTTTTCCTTGTAGATAACAATCCCAACATTTTTCCTTGTAGATAACAATCCAAATATTTTCCTTGTAGATAACAATCCAAACATTTTTCCTTGGAGATAACAATCCAAACATTTTCCTTGTAGATAACAATCCAAACATTTTTCCTTGTAGATAACAATCCAAACATTTTTTCTTGTAGATAACAATCCAAACATTTTTCCTTGTAGATAACAATCCAAACATTTTTCCTTGTAGATAACAATCCAAACATTTTTCCTTGTAGATAACAATCCAAACATTTTTTCTTGTAGATTACAATCCAAACATTTTTTCTTGTAGATTACAATCCAAATGTTTTTCCTTGTAGATAACAATCCAAATATTTTCCTTATAGATAACAATCCAAACATTTTTCCTTGTAGATAACAATCCAAACATTTTTCCTTGTAGATAACAATCCAAACATTTTTTCTTGTAGATTACAATCCCAACATTTTTCCTTATAGATAACAATCCCAACATTTTTCCTTGTAGATAACAATCCAAACATTTTCCTTGTAGATAACAATCCAAACATTTTTCCTTGTAGATAACAATCCAAACATTTTTCCTTGTAGATAACAATCCAAACATTTTTCCTTGTAGATTACAATCCAGACATTTTTCTTGTAGATTACAAGCCAAAGATTTTTCCTTGTAGATAACAAACGTAGTAAAGAAATTATTATTATTATTGTTAGCAGCCTGTTATTATTATTATTATTATTATCCTGTTATTATTACAGATTTTTCGAAACAAACATTGTTTTCACCGGTTCACCCAGTCTGTCCTGCTATTTTAGAATAAGACGAAGAAAACAGATGGTTTTATACCTTTCCCATGGGTAATGGTACGTAAGTGAATTTAATGAAGGAGACGGAACTGATTTTCTTCAGCCCGTGCCGCTATCCATTACATCATCGTACCCCCTGTTATTTTATTACTAGTTTTTGCTTGAATTTATTTTTTTTTAATTAGCATTGCATATAGGATGAGGACATTTGGGTACAGTTCTTTATTAGTAATTATGTAACGCCATTTTACGAGATTTTTCACTGGTATGAGAAACTGGTTGTATACAGCTGTTATTTCTGAACGAACAGAACGCCGTAAATGACATCCATGCTTCCTATGATTATTTTGTTAAGAAAAGAAAAGAATAGGTTTAAATATTACACAGAGGAAATTTCTTTTTTTTAAAACTCATTTCTCCTTCAATCAAGGCAATAAAGCGACTAAGACTCAAAGGGTTACTGATGGTGACAGAATACGAGAAAAAATATTATTAACTCGAGAGAAAATTTAAAAAAAATACAAAATACAGGATGTCCTCAAAAGATTGACATAATTTTTAAAAGCAATTACCTTGAAAACTACTAAGTCTAGCCCAATGAATTGAACAGTTTAGATGTTGAACATCATAAGTTTATTATGGCACCGATTTCATATGTGTTCAATATGTGTAGTGCCTGTGACGGCACACGACAAGTCAGTAGTTAAGCTTTTGCCAGACACGCTGTAGTATGTCTACGGTAACATTATCTAGTGCGTAAATGATTCTCTGCTTGAGTTCATCAAAGCTAGCAGGAAGAAGACGGGTATAGACCTTGTCATTTCACATATCTCCATAAAAGAAAATCACAAGGGGACAGGTCGCTGGCCGCAGCAGCCATTTCTCAGAAAAATATCTTCATCCCCACCACACCTGTTCTATCTCCCTGGCAGAGCCTCATTGGGATAAGCACGTACTGTCCTCTTCCATTAAATATAAAATCTTGATCTCTTTCGATACATTCTGTGAAATTTTTCGGTTATTCCAATAATAATTGCCAAAATTATTGACCTGCGAAATGATGTCAAAATTTTTGGGTCGCTCTCTCTCTCTCCATAAATATATATATATATATATATATATATATATATATATATATATACATACGCGGTATTGGAAAGTGCGCAATATCAGTGACAGAGCTATCATATTCAGTTGTATGGATATGAGTTTGTAACACAGGTTTTTTGTATGGATATGGTTTGAAACCGATGATTACACACTCACATCTATACAACTGGATATATATATATATATATATATATATATATATATATATATATATATATATGCTCTCGAGATAATTCGATTGAGATGAAGGGGTGATTTTATAAACAGTGGCTGGTGCTGCTAATGCAATGCTCTTCTACTCGAATTGAGCTCTCCTAGTTTCTGACGTCTTTCGTATAGTAAAAACGTTAAAATTTCCCAAATGCTCTGCCATGCGACGATAACTGGGGTAGAATCTCTGTGGATGGATATATATATATATATATATATATATATATATATATATGAGGGGGAAGTGTGTGCATATAAATATAAACATACATATATATATATATATATATATATATATATATATATATTTATTTATATATTATCAGGTCATCCCATAAATCCTGTCCGAATTTTAACTTTTTTTTTAAAATGAACGAAATTTTAAGAGTATTTTATAATGTCTAATAGAGCTGAACATTATTTTTATGTTTAGATGCATTTAAACTGATCAAATTTTATTTCAGAGAACAATAAAATTAAATTTTGTTTGATTAAAACCCTGCTAACATGGAAGTAGCCAAGAATTATTTGAGGCACATAATGCTTTATGAGTTCAAGAAAGGAAACTCAGCAGCCGAAGCGGCTAGAAACATTCACTCAGTTTAAGAAGAGGAATGTGTGAATGAAAGAACTTGCAGAAGATGGTTTGCAAAATTCAGAGGTGGAGATTTCACCCTTGAAGATGAAGATCGAACCGGACGTCCAGTTGAGTTTGATGAAAAGCTTCTTGAAGCAGCCATTGAAGAAAATCCTGATTTATCAGTTGAGAAATTGGCAGTGGTTCTCAGCTCAAACGATACAACTGTTCATCGTCATCTTCAACAACTTGGAAAATGGGTGCCTCATGAATTGTCTGAAAACAACCTCAAATCCCGAGTTGACATTTGCTCTTCTCTCCATTCTCGCCAAATTGTTTCACCTTTTTCGGATTGACTTGTGACTGGCGACGAAAAATGGATCTTTTATCGAAATGTTAAGCGTCGTAGACAGTGGCTTGGTAAAGGGGAAGGATCCCAGCCCCAGCCGAGAAGGGAACTTTATGGGCAAAAGGTTCTTCTTTCAATCTGGTGTGATCGCTACGGAATAATCCACTTTAAATTCTTACCACCTAATGCAACAATTAATGCTCAAATATACTGTCAGCAATTAGAGCGTTTGACCCAAGATTTGAGGTAAAAAAAAGACCTGCTCTGGTGAATCGAAAAGAGGTGATGTTTCATCAGGACAATGCGCGACCCCACACAGCAAGAATCACGTCACAAAAGATCAAAGAACTTCGTTGGGAGAAAATTCCCCATCCACCTTATTCTCCCAATCTTCCTCCTTGAGACTACCATTTGTTTCGTAGCTTACAGAATCATTTGGAAGAAACAACTTTTGTAACACAGGATGAGGTTAAAACTGACATTTGTGAGTTCTTCGAATCAAAGACAAAAGAATTTTACTCTAATGGAATTAGTAAGCTTTTTAATAGATGGAAGGAAGTCATAGATAATCAGGGAAAATACATTGTCGATTGAATCTGTAATTAAATGTAACATTTGGTCACTAGTTTTCTTTATTCAAAATTCGGACAAAA